TTCAATTTTCTGAAATTTCCTCAACCTAAATAAATTTGAAATGGTATATTTTGAATAAATTCTGTTTATTTGTTGAAAGAAATGTTATATTATTTATTCGGCGCTATTTATCATGATCAACTTGATGTTTAAAATGGCCGAAAATTATTCCATTTTAACAAAAATTCTCATTTCTAACTTTAATCTTCACAAAAATAAATAAATAAAAAAAATAAAAAAGAAACTTGCAAACAGAATTAGTGAGGATTTATGATTANAGATAATTTATTACTTTTTACTGCCGAATAAAAATATAATTTCTACTAAAGAAACTTAACTTTCATCTATACACTCCTATATATAAGCACTTACAGATTTTCAAAAATTTCATTTACTTCTTTTTTTTTTATTGCTAAAGATCAAAAGAATCGTAGAGATATACTTTTTTTTCTCTCATCTTTTCTTACTTCAGATTAATTACAAAATTAAACATTTCTTTTACTGTGTTCTTCTGCTATATGTGTGCAGTTTAATTTACATCTGTATACGTTATTACGCAACTATATATATATAAATAATATGTTATTCTATCATAATAATGATGTATAAATATCATAATGCATACGTAATAATTAATATTTCCAGGAGAGAAGGTAAAGTTTAAGAAGCCACAGTCCATATTAGGATAGAAATTATCGATTATTTATTTTTTAATAAAAATGTTTATTAATCATGAGAATAATGTGCTGTAACTTAAACATCAAGCCAAAAGTACATTGATTTTGAGTTTATAATATCTTTTTTTCCAAAAATTAACCAAGGAATCACCCTAGAGAACTATATCCGTGAAACTTATATACAATAATAACTTATTCAAGAACAGAAACTATGTACGAAAGAAGGATTTCTACGTAAAGAAAACAGTAGATGTTGAGTTAAGTATATTAATAAATATAACTACATTTACTTGTAGTTATATTTATTATACATTAATTTACTTAATACTATAAACATTCGTGTAGATATTCTTGTTAATGACAGGAACAATACTTACATAACACGTAACATCTATGTAACAACAAATAATACTACATAGCGTAGTGTATATACATATTCAGTTAGAGTTGTATATGTAGTATCAGTTTCACTGGTTTAAAATTATGTCATTTAATAATTTATTGATAGGATTGATTCAAAATTTCGTTACACTTAAAAGAAACCAAAGTTTATCTCGACCAAACCAGAACTAGACTTCACATAAGACAGTAATCGAATATAACGGACCACTACACACAAACTAAAAAAAAAAAAAAAAATTCGATTTTGAATGAAAAAGCATGAAATAATACGGACAATATAATCCGAGGAATCAAAAAAAAAAGAAAAAAAATGCAGAAAAATGCAGAAAAAAATAAAAAAAAAGACTTTCAACAAGACACGTTCAAATTTTATATGATAAAGATATCTCAATATGACGTACCTTTTCCAAATTTAGCAAGATACTTGAGAAAGTGCATACAGGAAGCTGATAAACAAATCCCTCTGATTATGTAAATGTCTATTGGTCGCATCTAGCATACTAAATACAATGAATTTTCTATTTTTCTTTCCCTGTTTGTTTGTACATCCTCAAGATAAAGAGGAAACTTAATTTATAATCATAGAATTTTGATAAGATTGTTTTAGTCGGTTGCCATTATTTTCCCGTATAATTAAAACGCATTATACGATTACTAATTAATTTGAAAATAAAAATTTTTGTAGGTAATACACTAGAGCTAGAAGTGAAGAAAGAACATAGCCTGATGGGAAAATAACTGGAGAGAATCCACTCTAACTTGATGGTGAATCCCCTGATAGCTATTCAAAGGTACTTGTGTTTGCTGCAGTTCAACCAGACCACAATGTTAAGATAAAACATTGATACTTGCATCGCATCCTTCTTTTGTAATTTTACAACGTTGGATGACGTTCCAAAAACACAGAAATTATATATATATATATATATATATATCTGCAATGCCCCTTAGCAAATATTTTATATTTTAAAGCCACTTAAAATCTTTGAATTGCAGAATATTTTGCACGTTTAGGAAATGTATTAAAAATGCTTTTCTTAATGATANATGACGTTCCAAAAACACAGAAATTATATATATATATATATATATATATCTGCAATGCCCCTTAGCAAATATTTTATATTTTAAAGCCACTTAAAATCTTTGAATTGCAGAATATTTTGCACGTTTAGGAAATGTATTAAAAATGCTTTTCTTAATGATAAAATATTTAAATAGAAGGATATATATTTCTTGTTACATACACTTTTTTTTTTACTTTTCTTTCTCCAAAACAAATAAAATAAATAATAAAAACTGTAGAGAATATTCCGGTAATAATGATAAAACGATTTTCTCACATACAGATACCAGGACATACATTTGACGAAGATTTATGTTATTTCAACTGCTTTGTGATAAAATGGCTGACATTTTTGACAGAGAAATGAATGAAGAAACGTATAAAAAATAGATTTTTTTTCTTTTTTCTTTTTTGCAACTATTGTTATAATAATAACAATAATAATAATAATAATAATTCATACTGTAATTAATCTTCTTATATATATATCTGTATGTGTTTACTCTTTCCCCAGAGAAATAAATGATATAAAAATAATAAGAAGAACCTAAAATTCGTTCTGAGTTTTGGAAGGTAAAAAGAAGAAACAAAAGGGGGGGGAGTAGATAATGCAGAAAAGTTAGTTGTTCATTCTTCTTTCTCCATAACGAAGTATGAAAGGATGAAAATTGCGAAGTAGTCCAATTCGTTGATTAGAGATGCGAATTAATTAATTAATCGGTTAATTTCCGTTACATTAACTTTACCAATCTAACAGTCGTTAAGTTTAATTAATGTACATAATCTTAACTTTATTTTAAATAAACTTTTCAAATTTTCCTCGCTAACGTTCAAAAAATGAATTTAAATTTTTCTCTAATCTCTCAAAAGAAACGATGTTAAAATTCTTATCGAGTCGAAAAATTTATGTAAAAGTATATTCAAATAACAGATATGAATTTTAATTCTTTTCTAACTTGAAAAATTAACAAAATAATAGTTTTTAATCTCAAAACAATAACAAAACCCCCCAAAAAACTAACACAAAGATTTCTTACATATTACAAAATTAATTTAAATTCTTCTTTAACTCCAAAAATATTAGCATAAAATTTTCTACAACTCTTATAAAGCTTTTCCTATTTTTGAAAACACTGATATAACGGTTTTTTAACTCACAAACGACCAAAAAAAAAACCCACTAAAAATGTAATAAAATGCGTAATCCACTTTCATAATACTAATTAAATGATTTTGCCTATCTGTAGAACAACTAATATAACGTTTTTCCAGCCTCCAATCGCTAAAATAGACTTTTTAAATTCTAAAATAGTAATATAAAATGTTTCATTTTACAAAAAAAAACAAAGAAAACAAATTAAGAATTCTCATATCATAAACAGAAACACTTAATCAGCATTCAAGAAACGAATTTTTTTGTGTAATTCTGTAAGATGTTCTTTCATTATTATTAATATTTTCGGAAGATTTACCGTTAAATTATTATGTAATATAAAAGTGATTATTTTCATCTCGATCAAGATTATTGATATATTTTTTTTTCTTATTTTCTTGCGGAAGAAGAATGACAGTTACGATGAAAGCTATATCTATAATGTAATTGTTCATAATATATATAGAAAAATATCTATAAAGGTTAGCTTTATTGCTAACATATGTTTGTCTTTTGTAGCTTTTATAGTTGCAGCGTGGACATTTATGATATTTTCCGGTTAAGAGAGATGACTTCTTTCGGTCTAACCTTCCACTTCCGATGTTTATTAGAGAAATTGTTTTAGTTTAACAACAGGAAAATTATTATAAACAAATACCATTATAACTTTATTATTAATAATATTTTCCGTTCTGTCCTGGATTACTCGTAACAGAAATCAATGATATTTACTTATATGTGTTTACTAATGGTCTTTCTACCGTGTAAATTAAATTGATGAACATCAAACTGTTTTGAATTAGTGTTTCTAGATCTATATTAGAACGATAAAGCGTATTAGTTTACAATAGATATAAGCTAAAAAACACTAATTAAAATAAAATATTATACCGTAATTTTCACATAAATATCGTTAAAAAATCTGGAAAAACTATACGAATTTGTTATTTTTTTATTTTTATTTATTATTTGATTAGTTTTTACAGCTAAATAATATTTATAAACTGTACTGATGAGTTACAAGCGAAGTCTATCTTAGGAATTTTTGTACATTTTTCAAAAAGATGGAGTGAATAAAATGTTATTAAATTTTATTATTCTCACTTTTAATTAAAATTTACTAAATAAATATTTAAATCTGAAGCGAATATAATTGCATTTTGATAAATTATAGCAATAACTCTTTCCTTTTCCCTCTTCCAAGTTGTATATATACACACATTTATAAAGTTTTATACATAAATATAAAATTCCTTTGATTAAGATATTCACAAACTCATTAAAATTATTCAACAATTTTTAAAGAATAACATTAAAAAGTTATTTTTAAACTTAATTCAACATCTATTAAATCATAACGGTATCTGTATACAAACCTATACATTTAATTCACCTAAAAAGTTATTAAAAAAACATTTAAATATATAAGAGAATATTTAAAATATTTTGTTTTAATAACTAAAAATAGTTTACTTTAAGAAAATTTCCAATCAAAATTCCAAACATTTTTACGAAATTTGTTTACATCAATTTTTTTTCCTATTTTATTTTTCGTTTATTTTTTCCTATTTAATTTTTTTTCCATTTTCCTCCCCTCGTGTAAAAGGGTGGGTTGTAAGTTCATCGATATTTTCTATTTATTCACAACAGATGGCGCTGAACGGGGTGGAGAGTTACATTTCACACATCGGCTCTCAGTCGGCATCTACTCGCTGCACGAACCAGGTGCAAGGTGAACTGTAAAGCATTACATATCATTCGAGTCTCACGAAACTGTCTCGAAACGTGATGGCGATTTACCTGGTCACGTCTCGTGCTTCACGCTTCTGCTCTACTCAATTGGAAGAAGATATGTGATGGGAACTACTCACAATGTCTTGATGTGAACAACAAAATAATATATATATATATATATATACAAACATATATTTTTAATTTTTAAAGGGATTTATTAGCACAAACTGTTCAATATGAAGATTCGTTTAAGTGTCCTATCGCTTATCTGTCAAGTTGTGGCTTATATTAAAGGTAAGCTGAAGTAAACAAACTTGAATGATCTTTTAAATTTTTTCCTTATTTTTTTATAAATTTCATCTCTCTTCTATAATCCAAAATTTTAATTAGTTTTAACAGTAAATAATCTTGATGTATGATCATTAATATTCCCTATCTTACACTCTCTCTAAGGAGATAATTATAAATTAAACAAACCTTTATCAATTTTTATTATTTTAATTATAATTTCTGTATATATATATATTTTGAAAAAGTTAAAAAAAATTCTAGAAAAAGTTGGAGATAAATTTTTACTTTATGGATTCAAATTGATTTTTATAATTAATCTTATCTTCTAGAATGAATATCTAATTAATTTTTGAATAAATTAAATTGCTTTTTATATATTTCTTGCACAGAAAAAAAAAGAATTAAACTTTTTTTTTTAATCTTTTGCTTAAAAACCAATCAAAGTAATACTTTTTTTACTGTTTATTTTTTTTCGTTAATTTTGTATATATTTATATACATATTCTGTACGATTTCTGTTAAATGTTATAGGTAAATATTTAAATTTATTCTAAATATTTAACTTTGGATAGTAAAGGAGAATATTTAAATTTTTTCCACACCAGTCGTTCGGTTTATCCCATTGGATGGATAGAATTTTCAAGTCAACCAAATACAAAAGTATATATATATATATATATATATACAGTAGACATTTGACAAACTTGCTACAAGAATATCAACCCAATACACTTTCTCCACGCTTGAATGAAATGTAAAATGCACATTTTCATTCGAAAAAAAGTAATAAATAAATAATAAAAACTTGAAGAAAATAAAGCTTTCTAAACCTTACTTATTTTTACTTGAATGGTCTCCGTTTTCATTAATATATTTTTCTTTACTTAAATATATATATATATATTTAAATATATAATAATGTTTTCTAGAACATGTTCGAAAGTGAAAGTTTACTTATTTATTGATTTATTTATTTCTCTGTTGATTTTAAAGCCAAAAAAATAGAAAGTTGGTACATCAATGTCAACTTTTGGGACGTGTGTTGTATCCCAAGGCTAAGGAAATCTTGTCAATACACAATAGTTTTCCTTTGTCGTAAAGTTGTGAGGTCGCATTACTTTCAACGAATCAAAAGTGATTTCTCTTTTGTCAAATTATTAGAGGAAGCATTCGTCATAAGAAATGTCTAGTTGTAATTATTATAACTGTTGTCGAGATATCCGGAAAGAATGATCGTAAATACTGGCAATTACAGGGTGTTTTTTATGGTTTGTCTGCAACCAGAACTCTTTCCTCAGCTTAAATCGTATAAATTTAGCTTTTCCCAGATTAAAGGAAAAAAATCCTTCCTTCCAATTCTATCAGTTGGTATGATTGTTACATGATTTATAATTCTGCTGTTCTTGCTAATAGTTACGATTCTCTTGATTACTGTTTATAAGAATTACAGCCAGTAAGCGTTACAGTTCTTATGTTCTTAGTAAGAATTACAATTGCGATTACTGTTAGTTAGCGTCACAATTCTGCTGCCGTTAGCCAAGAGTTACAATTACAATGCTCTTGATAACAGTTAGTTTTCCTAGTTTCTATTAAGAATATTTATATTCCTGGAGCTTTAATATGTTTAATTCTAATTAGCTTTAAAAAGTGATTATTATGAGTATTAATACAGAATTAACTCCGGTGTTATTTGTAAGAATTGTAATTGCGATCACTATCAATAAGTTGCAATTGTGTCCTTTGTAACAGCTACAATTTTTTTCTCTTAGCAAAACCCAACACTATCGAGGCAGTGATTGTAATTCCGATTACTGTTACTAAGCAGCGTTACAATTCCAATTGTTATTAGTAAATATTACAGTTCAAATGCTTACAGTAAGTGTTGTAATTCTTGCGCTGTTAGCAATTCCTCAATTCCGATTACTATTGGTAGGAATTAAATTGTTGAACAATTGTAAACAACAAACATATATTAAGAAAAAAACCTAGCTTTAATTAAAAGATCGTTGAAAGATAGTTTATTTCATATTTAATTTATCTGATAATTATAAGCAGAATAACAAAGTGATAATTGCTAGTTTTTCTTCATCGGTAGAAGGCACAGAACTAATTAAAATACTAAAATTCGATTATCTTCTACTTCAGTTGGTTTTTAACAGCATATTGTTAACAAATTAAAGATATTTTTTTGTTTGTTTTAAAGAGGAGCTTAATTATTTTTGATAAATAATGCCGTCGTTAACATTGCTGAACGTTTCTTTCTTTCTTTCTTTTTTTAAGCATCGCCCTGTTCTAAAAACGAATTTGTTCATCTTTGAAGAAGGTCGCTAATTACTGTTAATGTAGTAGTCAAATGTGTTTTTCATTATTCATGAGATTTTTATTTACTACTTTGACCTTTTTCTACTAGCTTACCAAATTAGATCAAGATTATTTTTGATCAAATATAATTTTGTTAAAGTTATATTTGATTAATTTTTTTTTCAAATAAACTTTATAGTGTATACAAACATTATTTAAAGTAATAAATTCTGTATTTAAATATATATATATATTTTTTTAATTTTAAGAAAATATAAAAAGTTACCTTTTCATTATAAAAAGAGAAGTGTTTCTGATGGCATTTGGGAATGTTTCTTCATATTGTAGAATCTATTCTTCGTCATTTAAGGACTTTTCTTCTTAGTGCAGGATTTGCTTCATCGGATACGAATTTTTTGATAGTACAGAAAACTTTCTTCATCGTGTAGAGAGATTTTTTTTTCTTTAGAGCGCAAGAAATTTTTTCAATTTGTAGAAAATTTATAGAAGATTTTCTTCAACGTTTAGGGATTCTTTTAGGGTAAGAAATTTTTACGTCGTGTAGGGATTCTTCTTTAGATTTCAGGCGATTTTTCAGTGTATAGAGATGATTCTTTATAACATAGAATATTCTCTTTATATTATAAGGAATTTTTAGACTGTGAAATTAAAGTCCACATTCATGTAATTTCACGAAAAAAATATATTCACTTCAAAACAGAAAAATTGATATTCCCGCAATAATTCAGAATAAATTATATTTCCAACGCAACGTAGAATTTTTTAGAAATAAATTTTTTAAAAACTTCCAATATTTATAACGTAGAAGTATACTTTTAAATTTTAACAATAGGGATGTATCTGTACGAAAATTTGTAAATGCTGTATGTACAGTACACTACTATAGCATTTCCAAATATAGTAGTGTACATGTATGTATATGTAAAGATAGCTATAACAGTTCCAAATTTCGTATAGATACATTCTTATTGTTAATTAATAACATTCCTTAAAGGAGATAATTAACAGATGTCTTCTTACGCAAGTAATTTTGTAAGAATTAAGGTATTTTATAAAATAACGCTCAAACTATCGACGTCAACAGTTGGTGATGTATGTTGTTTGCATTGTCCCCCTGGTCGCTTTTTAATTAAAACTCAAACGATTAAGTCAGGCATACAAGCTGACATGTGATATACGATGTTTCGATGTGACATTTGTTTGGCTTTTTCTCAACCAATTTTCTTCTCTATCGTCCTCAGATACAATAACACTTGACATTTGTCGATATTTATAGAGCTACACTTTCTATAACAAGATGAGAAAATATCTACCCTTTATTTTATTTCGTATGCAACACCCCCCAAAAAAACAAAACTTTACGAGATTAAAATTGAATGTTTGGTATTCCTGGAGGACCATATTTTTTTGTTTATTCTTAAATTCTAGAAAATTCAGTACATTCTACGATTGTCTTAAGGAATTTTTAGTGAAGAATGACACTTACGAAATGCTTCAAAAATCGCATTTAAAGTGTTTAAATTTTAGAGAAATTTTGATGGTTTGATGATATTGCAAAAAAATATAAAATATTATCTGTTTAAAATATGGAAAAATTCATATTTTGATTATAGTTTCGACATTTTTTTAATATATTGATTTCGTAGGATTTTTTTCTTCGTGGTATAAGAAATTTTCTTAAACTTGGTAATTTTTTTTTGTAATGCAGGAAATTTTTTCAGTTCGTAGGGGTTTTTTTATAGTATAAGAATATCCATCTTTTAGGGAGTTTTTATAACAGAAAAATTATCTTCGCGTGTAGGAATTTTTCTCTTAATTCAGATAATTTTCGTAAACTTGTAGGGATTTTTCAAAACTTTTCTTCGTAGCCAAAATTCACATTGAAATTCATTAGAAACACTTAAGTGCCATTCAGAAATTACAAGAGACCGTTAAACGATTTATAACATGTTCATTATAACTTTAACAGCAACTCGTTGAAAGATTATTAAAAAACAAAAAGATGGATTGCTAAGTTCAATAATGAAGTATTCTTCAATGCTAAACGCCATTAACAACTAAGTGCTATTAAATGTTAGTTAATTCATTTAATAAAAGATTAATAAGTAATTTATCGTATTAAAAAGTGCGTTAAGAATTTATTAATGTATTTTCAGCGTATGAGATCCATTGATTCTAACTAAAGGGATCTTTGCCACTTCCAAAAATGATTGTTTGTTTGCTACGTCGGCCATTTTCACTGTTGGATAACCATTCTCCAGTTTGGAAATTCGAGAAAGAATAATGGATTGGGATCTTTGTAGCTTACTAAAAGTTACAATCGTTAACTTATCAGTTTAACTACTTTGTAGATGAGCTTTTCTAGCTGTAATGGTACCAATTTAGCTATTAAACTGATTAAGAATGATTAATTAATGTGTCTCTCAGATGTTTATACACATTTGTTAGCAAAGTAATTGAATATATTAATTATTTTAATGATTGAATCGTTTATATTCTTCATCAATTATCATTTTTCACTCTATATCACTTTCATAATCTTAAGAATAACCGCGTAAAATTTTCAATTATAAGAATATTTTAATTTTCTTACTAACATAAAATGCATTTTTATCCAGTCATACGCTGTTTATTGTTAGATACATTTAGGTCAGTTGACAAAAGGACGACTATAATACAAA